GAGGGGGCAAAAGCCGTTAAAGGGGAACGGTTTTAACGGCGGCGGGGCCGCCGGGATGAACGGCGAGTTGTGTGGACACAAAGCGCGGGGTGGCGGCGGGGCCGGAAACGCCTCGGTCGTACGGACAAGCTTTTTTTTTTTTTTTTTAATAAATTAAATTCTTCCGTACTTCTGGTTTCCACATGTGCGTTGTCTAAAAGTAGCTCTGACGCGTTTTCTCTGCTTTATTTTTTTTGTCGGGGAGGGCAGATTTAACGCCTGATACGTTCTCTCTCCTCACCGTTATTCCACATCTTTAAACCCTCTTTGTTTAAGCGTCCCAGTCTTTTTATTTTCTTGCCGCTGACCACCGGCATGGCTTGTTTTTCTTCTCATCTCGCGTGTAGGAAATGAAAGAAAAGAAGGAAAAACTTGAGGAGAAAACAGTCCACAAAGAAAAGAAGAAGGAGATAGTAGAGGTGAGGCCCTTCTAGGGATAGATTTAAAGGCGTCGGGGAGGGTTTTATAAAGGGTGGTTAGCCTGGCTCGCTCCGGTTAATGAATATGAAGGGAGCATGGGAGATGAAGGAGAAGGACAGGCCAGGGGAGCTCGTAAGGGAGAGGGGCAAATGAAGAGCGAGCTAGAGGGTAATTGTGGAGAATGAGCCTTGAAAGACTTTGCATAGTCAGCATGGCCCAGCGAGAAGGGGAAAAGAAAGGTCAAGGAAAGGAATGGAGACAAGGGGGAGTCGGAGTTAAGAGAAGGTGGCACAGGAGACGCGGTCCTGCGCCTACTGAAGTACCCTGAGGTGCGTAAGGAATATATGTTGAAGAAGGCGGGGGGGTGGCTCCGGTTAATGAATATGAAGGGAGCATGGGAGATGAAGGAGAAGGACAGGCCAGGGGAGCTCGTAAGGGAGAGGGGCAAATGAAGAGCGAGCTAGAGGGTAATTGTGGAGAATGAGCCTTGAAAGACTTTGCATAGTCAGCATGGCCCAGCGAGAAGGGGAAAAGAAAGGTCAAGGAAAGGAATGGAGACAAGGGGGAGTCGGAGTTAAGAGAAGGTGGCACAGGAGACGCGGTCCTGCGCCTACTGAAGTACCCTGAGGTGCGTAAGGAATATATGTAAAAGAAGGCGGGGGGGTGGGGGGGTGGGAACAGATTGATGAAGGTCAGGCGGGATCTGGAAGCAGATGTGCTATGAGCATAGGCTAAGTTGTTAGCCCGTAACCAGAGAGACATTCTGATTGTGGGGATGGCGGCAGCCTGGGGAGATGTAAGCATGTGGAAGTCAAGGAGGTTCATGTGGGTGGGGAGGGACTGGAAGGATTGGTTTTGGAAGGAAGGCTGGTTGGGAGGAGGGTTCCGGCTGGGATGGTGGGAACGGCGGTGTCAGTAACGGTGCGGAGGTCACTCGATGGAGTCTGAAGTGGCGGGAGCTGTGGAGATTGTTCTTGCACTTGCAGCAAAGAGCACGTGGGAATGTCATCCTGATGCCAGTTTCTGCTCTGACCAATTTGTTTCACTCAGGATGAGGAGAATGGAGCAGAAGAGGATGAGGAAGAGAATCCTGATGATGTGGATGAAGAAGAAGGTGGTGATGAGGATGAAGGTAGGAATAATTGGTGTAGGGAGAGTGGGAGGAATCAGGCTGTGGGGGAGTAGAAGGTCATGGAGGGAAATTCCTCCTCTGAGCCCTCTGACTGTGAGATTACATTCCCTTAAATGCTACTTCACTTAACCTGTGATTTCCTCTCTTGTTGGTGTTTAGAAGGAGATGAGAACGGGCAGGAGCAGGATGGTCATGCAGAAAAACGATCTGCAGAGGAGGAAGAGGTGAGTGATGGTGTGAGAGTAATGGCAGTGAGAAGGAGCGAGGTTACCTGCTATGTGCTGACCAGATCCGCACGGATGCCGTCGCCGAGCATCCCAAATTGGAGCTGTCCACGCCTTAACTGTGACCGTCAACAGAACGGTTGTGTTGGGCACTCAAAGATCCTTTAAGGAGGAGTGGATTTAGGGTGGGCCAAACAGAGGTTTCCATAGGGAGGAAAGAGCGGTGGTAGGAATTCTGTGGAGAAATGACGTGCCTTGGCGTGGTGACTGTTCGATGGCGACCTCTTTTCTTCCTCTCTGTGTCCCACGTAGGATGAAGTGGATCCAAAGAGACAGAAGACAGAAAACGGGTCTTCAGCTTGAGTCCTCCCCTCCCATCTCCTCTATTCCGTCCATCTCTCCTCCTCCATTCCAGCCTGTGCTTGCACTGTCCGTTAGCCTCTGGCTTCACACAATCTCAGATGAGGAAAGATTAGAAATGCTCTCAAACAGGGAAGACAGCAGTTTCCTTCTCACCCGAAGATCTGTGACGTTCCCCAGCTGAAATTATTCCAGTCCCCTGCATCCTTTCAGCTGTGCCCCCTTTACAAATGAGCCTCTTCCCTCAAGAATCTCCTTGTTTCCCGGGGCCTGGTACGTAGCCCTGCCAGGCTCTTCACATGGCGAGCGCCTCTCTTTCCGTTTTCGCTTGCCCTCCTTTTTTTTCTTGACAGCTTCTGCTCCCCAGACCTGCTGTCAGATACCTGCCCCGAGCCCAGGAGGCTGTGGGCACAGAAAATGGTGCATTTTCCAGTCCTAGGCCTCTTCTCCTCTACTTCCCTGTTGAACCCTGAGAGACAAAGAATATTACAAGCAAATAATGGTTCTATTAAACCACACGCGGAGACAGAATTTATTTTAAGCTTTTTTTTTTCCCCCTCCAAGTTTACATGACAGCAAGCTGGCCCTTGTGAATTTTTCAGAAGATAAGGGTTGTTTTTATATATGAATTTCACCTGAACTGCGTATTTTTTTTAATTTGGAGGCTTTTTTAAAAACAAATCAAGAGCGAAACAATTGGGGACCAAACTTTGATTTCCATTTCTTCCCTTCAGGTTTTCTTGTGACCGTTTTTTGTAAATTAAAGGCAATACAGCCACGGCATTTTCTATGGCACAGACATCACGAGGATGATATAAATATATATATTGTTTTCAACTAGCACTGTAAATAAAAGCGTTTAAAAATAGCTCAAATGGCTCGCGTCGACGCTTGTGTCTGTACGTCTTGGGTTGTGTTCCGATCAGATCGATGGAAGTTGGCTTGCGGAAGGACGTGGTGGCTTGACCCGCAGCAGGTGGAGCCTGAAGTTCGTCAGGAGACCTGCGTTAATTATTCGGAGAGACCAGCACGCGCGGGTCCTGCTCCCGCCCTCTCGCACTGCGGGGACAAACACGAGATAACGCTGCAGGGCTGTCGGGAAGCTCTGGAAACTGCGGAAAGGGAACGCAAGGCTGCCGGACGCGGCCAAGCGCCGCTCTAACCCTGCGCTGCTCCGGGCGCGACCCACGCAGCCTCAGGGAAGTCTTTGAAGAGAAAAGAGCTTCAGTTCTTTGTCCCACCAGAGAGATCTGGCAAACATTTCTCTTTTTATCTTTGCAGACCTTTAAAGTTGCTGTTAGCGTTTCTTCCTTTTTAAACCTCGTGCTTTGGCAAGCGTGCGACGAGCCGGCGAGCTGTAAATAATACCGACTTCTGTCTGAGCGTCGGTGGCGCTGTGCTTGTCCAACTGCGGCAGCAGATCCCATACTGGAAGCGCAAACGGTTGCTCGTCTCCGGAGGGGCAAAGCGTCAGCCGTCGTTTTCTCCCAAGTGTCCGTGTTTGGCTGCGGGGCGCGGAGGGACGCAGGCGTGGTGCCAGCGGCCCTTTCCCACCCGCGTGCGCCTGCCTGGGGGGATCTGGACCCATCTCGGCCCAGGGGCCACCGCAGCCCTGGTGCTCCTGCCCCGGCCCCTTCCCTCCTTCCCAGCTCGGGGTCGGGGAGGGCGTTTGGGCCCTTCTCCTCCAGCAGGGATGGGCCTGGTTCAAGCAAACCCCTCTGGTCCTGGGACATCCCCGTCTCCAGCTGCAGCCGTGTGCTGGGCTCTGCCTTCAGGGGCCTTCGCAGCGGGGTGCTTGCAGCCGTGCCCTCTCTCTGCCGCAGCCGTGTTCGCCGCGGCCCCGTCCCGCCCCGCAGAGCTCCCTCGGCAGCTGGGGCCGCAGCCAGTCAGGGTGCTGTCCCCTGGTGAACGGCATTTCAAAAGCAGGTAGCTGCTGCCTGGGATTGCCTTGCAACACCCCTCCCTGCTCCCGCCCGCCTTGGGCACTGTTGTCAGTGTGCTGCTTCAACCTGCAGGTGCGCTTTTGCAATTTTGTATTCCTACTATTGCTCCATTTAAAAAAAAAAAAAAAAAAAGTGATGGATTCTAGTCTCCGTTCAAGATACTTTGCCACTGGAGCAAGTCCTCAGGACTCCTCCAAACTTTCCGCTGACCAGTCACATTTTACTGTTTGGTACCGAAGATAAATTATGAGCGGACGATACAATCTCCGCAGAGGCCTATTACAGTTGTCACGCTTCTTCCCCACCACTGCAGCAGTGCCTGACTACGAGTAGTGCAGAATGTGCTTGCGAAGCTGCGGAGAGAGAGAACTCCATCTCTGCTTTCTGTGTGGATGTAACACCGGTACCTCTGCCTCTATCCAGCCGGTCACCCGGAAGGAAGCGAGGCAGCATCCGATTGTTAGGCCAGCACTAGTGATGGGAGCAGCCATCCCTCATTTCTTCTGAAGGAAACACTGAAGGACAGAGGGGAGTGACAAAGGGCTGCCGGCCAGGTTCCCCATGTCCCTACGGACCCCTTGGCTCCACAGGTTCTACTAGCTCTTCCATCTTACTCTGTTTTATTGAACACCTTTGTCATCGTCTATGGATAGAAGATACAGCTACAGACACAGAAACACTTAGAAGAATGTCTGCTTTGCTATTTTTTCATCTTGGTGACCTGCGGGACATCATCACTGACTTGAGGTGAGGGCTACAGATAACATAATGGGAAATCGCACAGTTTCTTCCCTTTCCTTAGATCTGCAACGATCCATGCTGTATCCGGCGGTATTTTAGCTGACAAGGCCATCACAGCAAGAAGTTGCATAGTTGCACAGAAAAAGGTGAGGATACAGGGTTCTGGACGGCACTTCATCTCAAGCCTGCATGTGTGCTTGATTTGCATCCGAACTTGAAGATGCTTTTTATCATTCATTCTAATTCTTCTTCCCCAGGAAGATCAACGGTGCCGTGCTGGTGTCATCGAGGTAAGAACAAAGCCCATCTTCACCTCAGAAGTGATTCCTCAGATGCCATTCAGGGGCCTTACTCACCTTTCTCGGCTCTGTGCTAATTCTCCACTCACGTCATTTCATTCCCGTGACCACCTGTTAACCGCATCCTCAGCTCCCTCAAGTCTCCCTTCCTTGCTTCCGACGGCACCTGCTCCTGGCAGCTCTGGTCCTGCCAACCCAATGGCACCAGAGGTTTCCTTCTTTCTCCTTCTCCTCTGGGGCTGCTTGCTTTGAAAGAGTTGTGGAGGTGGCACAGTCATGTTCTTGCAGGCTCTGCTACGCTTCTCCCTAGACTGACAATTTCTGCTTCCGACGGCCCTTTTGTGTGGTATAGAAAAGCAAACGCAGACACCAATGCAAAGAGCAGGTAGAGCTGCCCGCCAGGTCTTAGCTGGGTCCCTGTCCTAGCTCGGACGAGCGAGTGACCCCTTGCTCCCCGGGCGGGACCACCTGATGGCTGGGTCCTGGACCCAGCAGGGCGGTGAGCTTGAAGGCTGTGGCTGTGGCGGGGGATGCCGAGCCTGCCGGGACAGCGCTGGTAGGATGTGAGCTGCCCCTTGTTGGGTAACGGTGCAGGCGCAGCCTCCTGAAGAAGACAGCTCTGGCTGCAGCGGTGAGCTGTGGGCGGCAAGCATGAGAGGAGGCAGCCGATCTCTGTGTTGGGTGAATAAAACCAGTTAATGCTTCTGGTTAAGCAGAGCAACCTGACCTAGCTTTGGAGTCAGCTCTGCTGTGACCAAGGGGCTTGGGCTAGAGATCTCCAGAGGTCCCTTCCCGCCTACATCTTTCTGCGATATATGAAGAAAGAGAGGCCTGCCATGGAAAGTTTGAGGCGAGTCTGAAGATATTTTGAAGTATTGAGCCCAGAAACGAATGCTCTTTGCATCTTATAGCTGTCACCTCCTCATTTCCCCCTTAGGCAAATGATCCCCTCCTCCCAGCCTCTTTGGTCTTTCACACCAGTTTTAAGCCAATAAATGAAACAAGACCGGCACAATCAAAACCATCGCACGGGCAGAAACGTGAACCCTCCTTCAGACCTGGAAAAAGTGAGCCCTCCAGGCGCTGCTGGTCTGGGAGGAAAACCCTTCTTGTTTCAGGAAAGTCCATAATCACCCTGTTGTACTAGCTTTAAAAAAAATAGTGATCCCCTTCCTCTGGGATCAGGGGCTTCTTTAGGCCCTGCCATTAGGAGATGCATGGCTCAGCCGCTTCCCCTGCGCCATATGGGAAACCGAAACAACTTGCCTTCCCAGATCCTTAAGGAGTCCGTGTACTTTTCCCTCCCACCTCTCTCCCTTATTTCAAGAGCGGAGTCAAAGACAGACACGCTGATGGCTGAGCCAGTCTGTGTGTTTTCTCAGGGAAGAAGTCTGTGTTTACATGTGTGGGCTCAGACTGGGGACATGTTGCAGATGGACAGGACTGGAGCGCTGCGTGTCAGCGGATGAGTTTGACGTTTGTTTCCTGGTGAGCTCTTACGTTTTTAGCAACACGGAGAGTCGCAGGGGTGAGGAGAGACCTAAGGTGCTAGTATCCAAGGGTCTCAGCCACCCAAGATGGCGTATGGACCACGCGTGGTGCCATCAGGTACAGCTTCGTTCTCGTGGGAGGCTTTTTCTATCAGAGACAGAAGAGGATGCTTTCCCATCTCAGGCTGTTCGGGAAGCCTGAGTCCCAGCTGGAAGCATCCGTGCACAGCAGTAGCTCCTTAGCTGAGCCTCAGGGAACTGGGATATCAGAGCAGACAAGCTTCACCTTGTCAGGTGTACCTGTGCAGGCAGGCTATGGCAGATGACCAGGTGACTTGCCGCAAATCACCCATTAAAGAGGACAGAAGAGCACGCGACCCACGTACATGCCGTGGGTGATATCTAGCTGATGCTACTTGTCATTGGGGGGCTGTAGGAGCCACGCGTTCGACAGATCTCCAGCGTTTTTTATAATGACATTGATTGCTCCCATTCTCTACCGTGTATCTTGAACACTTTGTCTCAAAAAGTCCAGCTGAACGTTTCCGACGTCCTAGTGGGGTTCAAGATGCTTTATTCTCAATTTAGTCGCTTAATCCATGAAGCGGTGTCATAATGTCAGCAGGGTGTTTGGCCACACGTCCTGCAATGAAGAATCTCGTCCCTAAGTCCAAAATGTTTACTGGGGCTTCATGCATCCAAGATGGAAGATCCTAAAACCAGTAAAGGCTGTAAGATGTAG